GTATATATAATTAGTGGAGATTACATCTCTATACATATTTATGTATATTAATTCCAAACAACGTAAAGTAAAAAATTTTGAAAGTATAAATTATATAAAGTTATATAAGAAACACAAAATTTTATAGATATATATATTATAAAAAGTTAAATTTAGATATTAAAATTTTAAAAATATAGATTTTTAGAGTACGATATTTAATATAATTTCTATATAATTTTAAATATAATTTTTTTGGTATATTTTATTAATGAATAAAATTTTAATAAAATTCAAATTTTTAAAGAAGTGAATTGTCGAAGTACGATTTTGGATGCGCAATTGATTAGCGGGACGAGAAAGCAAGGTATGCAATATCTAGTAGCTGATACAAAACGATTATTTGTTTATTACTCAAATGTACATACACACACATATATGTACAATTACAATTATGTGTAAAAAACAAATTAAAAAAATTGAATTATATTAATTATATTGACAAAAGTATAGAAATATAGAAATGGACTCATAAATATGAGTCAGAAAAGACTTTTATCAGAATTTATTATTTGAGAAATAATAACGTAGGATAGTTATAGAATCAAAAACTTATCTCAAAATTAGTTGTTTGTTTTCACGTAATCTCATTGCAATATTCATATTGGCAGCTGTTGTGCTAACGATGATTGTTACTTGACAGAAGAAAATTTATAATTATGTGAGAAACAGCAAATGATAAAACCATCATAAAGCGCAATTTGAATCAAGTCTGTATGCAATATTTGCGTGTTGCATTATCAGACGCTTACCTGCCGCGGTACGCATATAAATAACATCTTGAGCAATATGTAGTCTCGCCAGAAGGAATAACGTCACAAATATCACAGTTGTACTGCTATTGACTCTTATCCTGATGCCCGATAAGCCGCACGGTAGGTTTTATAATCTCGTTAGAAATTATTAACCTTTAAGCAGGAGGGTCGTAGAGCCGCGCTAAAAACGTAGGTAATATCTATTAATTTAGCGCGCGTATCGCACGTTCATCGTTCCACCGTATCATTCGTTCGCGCACACTTGCATATCTTATAAATATATGCTCTATTGTACGGAGTAAAACAATGTTTCCAGCGTGATTTTAGAATCACTACACGGTTTCGCTGTCCGCAATGCTAATTCGCGAATCGTTATTCTACTTGTGTCGTTATTTCAGTCAAATGTACACGTTTGAAACTCGCGAATCGCCGGGCAAATCGCTAAGCGCGCGCTTCTCTTCTCGTCTCTGTATAAACAGTACGCTGCTTTTCGCAGAAGCGGGCAGAAGTCGTGCGAGATCGTAGGGAACGATAAATCGCTCTTACCAATAAAGTTCGTTACCTCAGGAAACACGCACGCCCCGTGTAACGAAGGAGAAACGTCAAATTAAGTGAATTACGCGCATAATTACGATGCGTACGTTTATCGCTCATCGACAAACATTCGTAATATGGGGCTGCACCGGTAACTCCGCGGTGGGACTCGCACGAACTCGCGGTATTTGCCCGTGATATAGTGAAATAAACGGAGAGAAGATACAGACTAATGTAGCTACGTGTGAAATTTCTTCGCGCAGATTCGAGCTAACCTAATTCGCACTCGAGGCAAGAATTCAGACTGCATAGTCAACAAATATCGCTCGTTTTTTACTTCCAGCATTTCAAAAATATCAACAATTAAATATGCAATTTTAAATTCTGTTGTGCGTATGTTAATGCGTATGTATTATATTTAATCTTTTTCATTTTGCAATTATTAAATGAATGATCTTCATATTTTTACATTGTCGGCTTTATAACAGTTAATGAGAAATTTTAGTTGTATGTAAATTTAATATAAAGCATTGCAAAAAAAGGAGAAGGCAATTTTAATCTTTATAATGGCATTAGATAAAGCACGTTAAGAGAGTCTGGTCTGAAATATGTATTGAAGACTAAATTAAGCTTTCAAGTCATTGATATGTATAATTAGAGCATTTATATGATAGTGGGTGTTTCATATGACACATCGATTTCCTTTCCATTTATAAGTTCACGCATTTCCTAGTTTTCACCTGATCGCGATTCGCGCACGCCTGGATGAGCATCTATGGTGTATGCAAAGTATTTCGTGTTTGCCATAACAAGCACCTCATTGACCCGTCGCACACGCGATACTGCTATTGTGTTTACCCGTGGCGTGGCGTAGAACCAGTTTACTCGCTGGGTGGTATTGGAATCCGAGATGGTTACGACTTTCCTAGCTTGAATATCTACCGCTCGATATCTGGGCCGCGCCCTATTTTGCAGCGAAAAGAACTGTTTACTTTAGATAACAGCTTATGTCAGTTATTTTGGTGTATATATTCAATGTAATACGATAATGTTTCAAGCATTTTACAATTGTATATTTTTCTTCAAAACTATATTATTTCCGAAGAAGGTAATAATTTGCTTTGCAAGATACAGCATTCTATATTTATAGCGTCGAAAACTAAGTTCATAAAAAATCGTGCCATTTAGGATTTTCGATTTAAAGAGCGAAAAATATCATGATTCGTTCCTCTTGAATCTGATCGGTTCAAAGCCCGATCGAATCTGTGCCGTAC